GTATATCCCTTACATTAGTGACTGACCCACAACTCGGCATATACCTAACATTAGTGACTGACCCACCACTCGGTATATCCCTTACATTAGTGACTGACCCACCACTCTATATATCCCTTATATTAGCGACTGACCCACCACTCGGTATATCCCTAACATTAGTGACTGACCCACCACTCGGTATATCCCTTACATTAGTGACTGACCTACCACTCGGTATATCCCTTACATTAGTGACTGACCCACCACTCGGTATATCCCTTATATTAGCGACTGACCCACCACTCGGTATATCCCTAACATTAGTGACTGACCCACCACTCGGTATATCCCTTACATTAGTGACTGACCTACCACTCGGTATATCCCTTACATTAGTGACTGACCCACCACTCGGTATATCCCTTACATTAGTTGAAATACCACTCGGTATATCCCTTACATTAGTTGAAATACCACTCGGTATATCCCTTACATTAGTGACTGACCCACCACTCGGAATATCCATAACATTAGTGACTGACCCACCACTCGGTATATCCCTTACATTAGTTGAAATACCATTCGGTATATCCCTTACATTAGTGACTGACCCACCAATCGGAATATCCATAACATTGGTGACTAACCCACCACTCGGTACTTTCTTACATTAGTGACTGACCCACCCCCTGGGTTATATCCCTTACATTGTGACTGCCCACCACTCGGTATATTCCCTTACATTAGTGACTGACCCACCACTCGGTATATCCCTTACATTAGTGACTGACCCACCACTCGGTATATCCCTTACATTAGTGACTGACCCACCACTCGGTATATCCCTTACATTAGTGACTGACCCACCACTCGGTATATACCCTAACATAGTGACTGACCCACCACTCGGTATATCCCTTACATTAGTGACTGACCCACCACTCTGTATATCCCTTACATTAGTGACGGGACCCACCACTCGGTATATCCCCTCACATTAGTGACCTGACCCCACCACTCGGTATACCCCTTACATTAGTGACTGACCCACCATCGGTATATCCCTTACATTAGTGACTGACCCACCACTCGGTATATTCCTTACATTAGTTGAACCACCACTCGGTATATCCCTTACATTAGTGACTGACCCACAACTCGGCATATCCCTAACATTAGTGACTGACCCACCACTCGGTAAAATCCCTTACATTATGATGACCCGCCACTCGGTATATCCCTAACTAGTGACTGACCCCCCATTTGGTATATCCCTTACATTAGTAATGACCCGCCACTCGGTATATCCCTTACATTAGTGACTGACCCGCCACCGGTATACCCCTTATATTATGACTGACCCCACTCGGTATATCCCTTACATTAGTGACTGACCCACAACCCCGTATATCCCTTTACATTAGTGACTGACCCACCCACTCGGTATAACCCTTACATTGTGATGACCCACCACTCGGTATAACCCTTACATAGTGACGACCCACTTCTCGGTATACCCTTGTATTAGTGACTGACCCACCACTCGGTATATCCCTTATATTAGTGACTGACCCGCCACTCGGTATATCCCTTATATTAGTGACTGACCCACCACTCTATATATCCGTTACATTAGTGACTGACCCATCACTCGGTATATTCCTTACATTAGTGACTGACCCACCACTCGGTATATTCCTTACATTGGTGACTGACCCACCACTGGGTATTCCCATAATTAGTGACTGACCCACCACTCGTTTAATCCCTAACATTAGTGACTGACCCACCACTCAGTAGATCCCTTATATTAGTGACTGACCCACCACTCGGTATATCCCTAACGTTAGTGACTGACCCACCACTCGGTATATTCCTTACATTAGTGACTGACCCACCACTCGGTATATCCCTTATATTAGTGACTGACCCACCACTCGGTATATCCCTTACATTAGTGACTAACCCACTTCTCGGTATATCCCTTACATTAGTAACTGACCCACCACTCGGTATATCCCTTTAAATATTAGTGACTGACCCCCACTCGTATACCCCTTTATATTATGACGACCCGCCACTCGGTATATCCTTTACATTAGTAACTGACCCACCACTCGGTATATCCCTACATTAGTGATTTGACCCACCACTCGGATAACCCCTTTATATTAGTGACTGGACCCACCACTCGGTAATCCCTTATATATAGGGGACGCCCACCACATCGGTAATCCCTTATTTTAGAGGGACTGACCCGCCACTCGGTATATCCCTTACATTAGTGACTGACCCGCCACTCGGTATATCCCTTACATTAGTGATTGACCCGCCACTCGGAAATATCCTTACATTAGTGACTGACCCCGCCACTCGGAAATATCCCTTACATTAGTAACTAAACCAACCACTCGGTATTTTCCCTTACATTAGTGACGACCCACCACTCGGTATATCCCTTATATTAGTGACTGACCCACCACTGGGTATATCCTTATATTAGTGACTGCCCCACCACTTGGTATATCCCATATTAGTGACTGACCCGCCACTCGGTATATCCCTTACATTAGTGACTGACCCGCACTCGGTAAATCCCTTACATTAGTGACTGACCCGCCACTCGGTATATCCCTTACATTAGTGACTAAACCCACCACTCGGTATTTTCCCTTACATTAGTGACTAAACCCGCCACCTCGGTAAAATCCCTTACATTAGTGACTGACCCACCACTCGGTATATCCCTTACATTAGTGACGGGACCCACCACTCGGTATATCCCTTACATTAGTGACTGACCCCCCACTGGGATATCCCTACTTAGTACTGACCCACATCTAACCCTTACATTAGTGACTGACCCACCACTCGGTAATCCCTTACATTAGTGACTGACCCCCACCCCGGTATATCCCTTAATTAGTGACTGACCCCCCTCTATCCTTACATTAGTGACTGACCCCACTGTATACCCCTTTACATTAGGACTACCACCACTCGGTATATCCCTTACATTAGTGACTGACCCGCCACTCGGTATATCCCTTACATTAGTGACTGACCCACCACTCGGTATATCCCTTACATTAGTGACTGACCCACCACTCGGTATATCCCTTACATTAGTGACTGACCCACCACTCGGTTTTCCCCCTTCATTAGTGATTTGGACCCCCCACTCGGTATATCCCTTACATTAGTGACTGACCCACCACTCTATATCCTTACTAGTGATGACCCCCACTGGGTTTTATCCTTACATTAGTATGACCCACCACTCGGTATGTCCCTTACATTAGTGACTGACCCGCCACTCGGTATATCCCTTACATTAGTGACTGACCCACCACTCGGTATATCCCTTACATGAGTGACTGACCCGCCACTCGGTATATCCCTTACATTAGTGACTGACCCACCACTCGGTATATCCCTTACATTAGTGACTGACCCACCACTCGGTATATCCCTTACATTAGTGACTGACCCACCACTCGGTATATCCCTTACATTAGTGACTGACCCACCACTCGGTATATCCCTTACATTAGTGACTGACCCGCCACTCGGTATATCCCTTACATTAGTAATGAATTGTCTTACGGTTTTTGTGGCTGTTCTTTTGTCTGTTTTTCTTTTTTTTTTTTGATCCTAATAATTCATTCTCGGAAAAGTAAAACAGGGTATGACATTAATAATTATTTCTAGAGCATTTATAGATTTATCCGATAAACTTTATTAAGCATCACAAATTTCGCTGAATTTTCTCTTAATTACAAGTTTGAGATAGTATATCATAGTACTCTTACTTATCAAACTTAACACCATACACTTCAAAGACCACGGTCAACAATTTGATTTTTTTTTTTATCACACTGGCCGATTCCCACCAAGGCAGGGTGGCCCGAAAAAGAAAAACTTTCACCATCATTCACTCCATGAATATAAATATATTGAAATTACTGTATCTTGTGACAGGTAATAAGTGTTAAGATACCATAGAATTCGTATTAAGAATGTCGGACTTGGCATGTCTGATCAGAAACTACAACGGCGGGTCCTCACCTAAGACCCTCGTCAGGAAACACTTGTCCTGTTTCCTGACGAACCCTACCTCTGATAGCCGTATAGTAACTCTTTGCGACAGTATAGATTTATCTTACTGTGGCTAGCTGGTCCAGTGGCTAACGCGTCGGTCTGGAGTTTTGAGACTCTCTGATCGTCGGTTCTATCCCCTCCCGTGGTATGGTTTATTCGTGATAAGCTGGCGTGAGATAAGGGACGTGATGTATGACTGGCATACAAGAGATGTAGGCACATCACTTAGATGAGCTCTCGACCGCGACTGAACAATGGTCTATAAACAAAGAGTTTATGCTCAACAAAAGACCCACAAGGAGACAGATACCCAGGAAGTTGTTTGACCTGTATATTTCAACCCCCCATCCTTCAGCAGAAGAGGATCCCAGAAATGGTCGCTCTATATGTACAGATCACTTAATCTCCTGTGTTTCTGTCTTTATGCGGGTTATTATTGAGCACTGACAAGTGTTCATTACACATTACTTATTCAAGGAAGTTATAATATTCGGAGAACAATGCTGGTAGAATCATGTTCTTTCCAACCTGGATTTTCTAGGAAGTACATTTGCTTACGTAACCTTACAAAATGGCTGACTTACAGTATCCGATTGACTTGATAGTTACACCTTTCATTCGACTTTTTGTTAGAATCAATGAAAACTATTGGCGACATTCCAAGTTCCAACACTAAAGTAAACTTAAATATAGTGGTCGCTTTGAAAATATTGAAGCCGTCTTTTCCTGTGCAGTTTACCGAGTGAAGTGACCTAAAAAATACGAAGTGATACCAAGAGCAAGTTATCATACTTAGTATGGGTGACATACATAAATCAATATTCTTGACAACCATCATAAAAATTAAAATTTTAAGGATACTTGGATAAAGTTTAATTTTTCCTTAAGTTAAGAAGCTGGTCAAAAGCCACCTCGGGTGAAAATTGAATATTACGATTTTTTGTCATTCTGCTGAAAGTGTTGAAGTCACATTATAAGAATATAAAGAAATTCTTACCATATACAAGCTGCTCCTCCGCTGAAGTGGGAGTGCATTGTTGCGATTCCTCACGTGGCTTGAGCGTGGGTGGGGCAGGGTTTGGGTGTGGGCGATTGGCATAGCATAAGCGAGGGTGTACATGGGCGCTGGAACAGAGGTGGCGGTGAGAGGCATGTGGTGATAGGAAGAAGAGCGGTGCATGTCGACAGTGAGGGGAGAAGAATACTCCCGCTGGATATATTGCGATTGGTGGACGTGGGGCTGAGATTCCGCAAGGGCATGAACTGGCTCTGCGTGAATGTGTACTGGCTCAGCGTGGGCATGAGCTGGATCAGCGTGGGCGTGGACTGGTTCTGCGTGGGCGTGGGCTGGTTCTACGTGGGCAGGAGCTGATTCCACTTGAGAGTAGTTAGAATGTGCATTGCGGTTAGAGTTCACGTAAGCGCCAGGGTGAGCTTGGGAAATCTCTGCAGTGACTTGAGCAGTGTCGGGATGAGTGTTGCCAACCATGTCTCCGTATATCGTGTAGACGTCAGCTGCTCCCAGATGGTCCATAAGGTCCACTCTGCCTCCTGGGGACCCAGATAACTGTCTTGAGAATAATATCATAATCACAAGTACTCAACAATTCCGAGATTGGCAGAATAATTACCAGGTAACCCACAATACCGCGGCAGAGAAAATACTAAACTTTCCCCACAATTCACTGTTTGGAATTATTCACAGGTAAACCGCAACACTGAGTTAGAACGTCTTATAACTAACTCATAATACAGAGCTAGAACAATACAAGGGCAACCAGCAAGAACCTAGACGAAGTTTCGACCCCTCCTGGACCATTCTCACGTCACGAATTGATAGGGTCTAGAACAGGTTAAAATATTAAGCAGTTTCTCTGGTGGTTTGTGAGATACTGGTGAATTCTGAAACCTCGTCGACCAGTGCCAAGCCCTTCTAGCTCTCTCCTCACTAGGAAAATAAATTATTGATAAATTTCTGATGGAAGAAAAAATTTTGACACAGTGCTTCACAGAGAGAGGCAAAGATAAAGGAAGTTCAACAGTGAGACAAGGATAAAGAATGTTCGACAGTGTGCTTCATAGAGTAAGTAAGTAAGTTTATTCAAGTATACACAAATACAGTTATATAGATTCTCATACACAGCAGCATATGTGTAGAGAACCTGGGATAACACAAAAATATCAGAGAAAGTGACTTATTTCCATTAGGATACTTTTACTACCTTATTATTATACTATATTGGACATAGCATCTTATTATTATACTATAAAGGAGACATACTAGGAATAAGGTAAAATAAATTATTTGTATTTACATGTGTGTTAGCTAAAAAAAATAAAATAAAAAATAATTCTCCTCCTTTTCTGTCACTACCTTCATTAGGAACCTTTTGGCAGTCTTCTTGAACTGGTTCATGCTATGACTGGCTTTGACATGTGCAGGCAGTCTGTTATATTCCTTTATTGCTGGACAATAAAAGGTGTTTGAAGCCTGGCTACTGACTGTGGGTACTACAAAGTTGTGCTCTCTCTCCCTAGTGTTATGATTGCTTTGGTTCCCAACCTTGACAAAATTGGCAGCAAGATATTCTGGACACTGTTTGTGAGCAATTTTATAAACTTGATTAGACTTCAGCTGTTTTACTCTGTCTTCAACATTCAGCATATCCAGTTGTTGTAATTCATCCTGGCCTACATGCTCTTTTGGACCCAGGTAAAGGATGAATCTTGCCATTTTGTTCTGAGTGATTTGTAGTCCACCTTTCAGTTTTTTTTTTTTTTGTTTTTTTTTTTTTGCCAAGGCAGAGTACCATGAAGAGCATGTATAGTCCATGTGACATTGTATAAGGGCTAGACATAGAGTCCTGCGAGCCTCAGTAGGTAGACACTTCACTTATCTGTATAAGAACTTCAGTCTAACATTCACTTTCTTTACTACACTGTTCCCTATCAGTTCTCCTGACATGCATGGGTCAAAGGGGATTCCCAGGTATTTTACTGAGGAAACTGAAGTGTTGGGTTCCCCATTACACCTGACATTAAAATTATTTTCCCTTCTCAGTTTATGTTTCGCGCCAAAGAGTATGGCTTCCGTTTTCCCGAGGTGTAACGATAGTTTGTTGCCTACTAACCATTTCCTGCAGGACTCCAGTTCTAATCTTATTACATTAGCTATATCCTGGGGTCTTTAAATGACACTAACAGAGCACTGTCATCTGCATACAGTAGGAGTTTGCACTTGACACTGATGTGCAAGTCGTTTACATAACATAGGAATAATAAGGGACCCAGAAACTACCTTGGGGAACTCCTCATGTTATCGGCAGGGGTTCTGATTCCGTTTTGTTGATTTTGACAATTTGTTTCCTATTGCTAAGGTAGGACTTAAACCAGTCTACAGAACCTATGCCGATAGCTTGAAGTTTCTTACATAATATATTTTGGTTGATAGTGTCGAACGTCTTTTGTAAATCTAAGGTTACCATTTCTATGAGGTTCCCTAACGACATTTCAGTTCTCATGTAATCCGTCAGACTGATTAGGGAGGTGTCGGTTGAGTAAGATCTTCTAAAGCCTGATTGATAGCTATGGAGAATGTTGTTGTCATTAAGGTACTTAACTACTTGAGAATACACCGCCCTCTCTAGAATTTTAGATATTATACTGAGTATACTAACAGGCCTATAGTTGCTGACATCAGACCTACTATTTTTCTTGAAGACAGGAGTAACTCTGGCCTCCTTGAACCCCTCCGGTACGGTATTAGTGGTGATTGACAAATTTATTATGTGAGCAAAAGGGATTGACAGTTCAGAAGCACCATCTTCTAGGAACTTAGACGAGATGTTATCTGGGCCGGTGCTCTTAGTTGGGTTTAACCTGCTTAGTTCTTTTTGAATAAAGTCATGAGATACACTTACTAGTTGACAACTGTTTGGTGTTACACCTTTATTGGTATAGTATGTTTAAAACTTATCTGAGTCTGTTTTAAAGGTATTTGATGCAGCTGGTAGTTTACTTACTAGTGTTGATGCAACAGATGTGTACTAGGAATTAAAACAATGCACCACTTTAGTTGTTTCGTGGCATACCTCGTTATCGATAGTAAGTACTATATTAGACCTATCTACTGGTTTATGGCTATACCCCAACTGTTTTAGTTGATGCCAGAGCTTTCTGGGGTTACTCTTATACTCTTCGATTTTTGAGAGATAGTGCCTTCCCTTTCCTCCTTTTATAAGCCTCTGTACTCTGTTCTTCACCCTTTGGAATTCACTTAGCTCTGCAATATCCTGTCTGTTTGCCTTAAAAATTTTAGCAATTGATCTCTGAATTTCATATTATCTAATATCTCAGTAGTCATCCAGGGTTCGGTTCGCTGTTTAATCTTAACCTCTTTATCTGGTGTAATATTATCAAGGATAACAGTGAACAATTGTTTTGAATCTTCCCCAGGCATCATTTACGTCCGTGCAACTTACCACTGTCCAGTCACAATTGTGTATCCTATTTACCAATATTTCTTTACTGTAGTTTCTAGTTCACCTCATTTTAATTGTCCTGTGTTAACCTATCCGTTCCCTAATGATTTCCTGGTGCAGGAAATGATGAAATGATCACTAAGGCCTGTGGTAATGACGCCTGACTGACTAATGTTCTCAGAGCGGTTACAAAATATGTGATGGAAATGGGTGGTCCGGGTGTATTAATTAGTTGAGTGTAACTATTTAATCCCAGAATTTCCTTATACCTTTTACGTAGTCCGTTATTTTGCTGTTGAAAACAGATATTCAAGTCTCCCAATATTACTGTCTCGCAATTGTTATCAAGTCCGGACAAGACTCTCAAAAAGTCTTCTAAGAACTGGTCATGAGTGGGAGGGCGGTAACTACTTCCTACTAAGATAGGTTTAAAGCAACGCTTTAAACCATAGCTAAGTCATCACTGCTAAAGGGTAACTCTGCCAAAGTGAATTTTTTACAAACAAAATGAAATCTGGTACCATTACCATAATCAAACTCACATCCATTATAAGAACATTAGGAAGGAGGAACACTAAACAGACCTACTGGCCCATGCCAGGCAGGTCCAATTATCCCACCGGCTTAAGCCAATGCCCTAACCTAGTCAGGTCAGGTCAGGTCACATTCACTTAGGGAAGGAGAACGGCATCTGACCTAGTAGCACAAGCTAGTCAGGTACAACTCGCATGCACCCGCACCCACTCATGTATTTATCTAACCTATTTTTAAAACTGCACAATGTCTTAGCTTCTATGACGGTACTCGGGAGTTTGTTCCACTCATCCACAACTCTCTTACCAAACCAGTACTTTCCTATATCCTTCCTGAATCTGAAATTTTCCAACTTAAAGAAATTGCTATGAGTCCTGTCTAGGCTAGATATTTTTAGCACACTATTTACATCCCCTTCATTTATTCCTGTTTTGCACCCACCCTTTACATATTTTTACATAAGGTATATTTACTGTTATTCTTTCATACCTAAGTACAGTGTATACATATGTCTGGTGGTGTCTGAGATAATAAGATTGGTTCTATATGTATGCATTACATATAGAGTTAAGGTTATAATTCCTAGCTACTAGACCATCATTATCACCGTCAGTTATCTACCTGTTTTGCACCTGTAAAATAGTTTGAGGTCCTGGATTAGTATGGATATCGCCACTTAATAGCGCCACTATAAGAGCTGTGCGCCACTGTTTTTGTTTTGGTATGCGGTGTTGCCATACCTTGCTGCGATAGTGGCATATACGTTTCTGGTAGGATGGCAATTGTTGGGCTTTCACTGTCCAGGGTGTTATTACCCCATTCGACTTTTCCAGTCCCCATGACTGATTTCATTCTTCAGCGAATTTCAGTGAGACAAGGATGAAGAACGTTTGACAATGTGCTTCATAGAGTTAGACGAGGACAAAGAACATTTAATAGAGTGCTCCTTAGAGAGAAACAAAGATAAATGACTTTTGACAGAGTACTTCATAGAGACAAAGATAAATGACTTTTGACAGAGTGCATCATAGAGACAAAGATAAATGACTTTTGACAGAGTACTTCATAGAGAGAGACAAAGAGACTGAAAATCTGACGAAACATTGCTTAGGGAGAGACAGGGGAAGACAGAACGTTTAACAGAATGCGTTTTGAAGAAAAGACAGATGGAAATAAAAATCCACTTGAAAAAGTGCTTCCTGGGGAGATAGACAGTTTGACAGTGTGATTCTTGGGGAGAGACAGATGCTTATAAAACGTTTGACAGAGTCCCGTATAGGGGGGGAGAGAGCTTCCTGGGGAGAAACCAAGTGAAAGTTATTAAGGGAAGTGGGGTGTTAATGTGGGAGGGTGAAGATGGGATGTTAATGTGGTAGGGTGTACATGGGGTGCTGATGTGGGAGGGTGAAGATGGGGTGTTAATGTGGTAGGGTGTGGATGGGGTGTTAATGTGGGAGGGTGAAGATGGGGTGCTAATGTGGGAGGGTGAAGATGGGGTGTTAATGTGGGAGGGTGAGGATGGGGTGTTAATGTGAT